AAAAAAAAACGAAGTCTGATTCCTAGATAGACTTCCTAATTGTTTGGGGGTGAGGGTCTCGTGAGTGCGAGACACCTCAGCTCACGCTCCTGTAAAGTATGTGTGTGTCTGTGCAGTTCGCTCACGTGTGTGAAATCATCTGCTCACATGTTTTACTTTGCACTTCTAAAGTGTGCCCTTCTTCCTTGCTTGTGTTGGGTATTCTGTGTTTTCAGATACAAGTGTCAATACCCCCTGGACAATTGCTATATTTCATGTATTTATTTGGTAATTTAAGGAGACAGAAATAAGCTGGATAATATTGTCTTTTGAAACGGATGTTTCTTTGATTCTATTTTAGAACTTTGGGTTATTTTGAGTGAAATTTCTAATGCACTGGCACTGATTCCTCCATCTCTCATCCTGGTCACAAATATTTTCATGAGCAGCAATCTATTTGTCAACTTCAGAAGAGACATTCTCTTCTCGATTGTCTGTAGAGCCATTTGTTTGTTTTTGACTGGAAACCTCTAACAAAGGAATCCAATTGCCATTTGGGATTGATTTCTAGAACATTAACAGAGAAATAGACATCACCTTGCCTCCGACGACATTAACCCAAAGATAAAAAGAGTTCCCTTTCACCTCTACCTTCAGCAGAGTGATCAATTTTTAAATTTTATCTATTTTTTGAAAAGAAAATACGTTCACCTTGTTCAAAATTCAAAAGTATACTGTCAGGGTTATGACTTTCTGATCTTTGGATTCTGCCTAGTGCCTGGCATAATGACTTGTATATAGTAGGTGCTGAATAAATGTTTGTTGAATGGGTGGATGAGTGAGTGCGAATTAAGAAATTGTGGGAGGCAGAGAAAGAGGTGGATTAGGGTGGGGCAGCAGTCATTTGAGAGTTCGGAGAGCAACAGCTCATTTCCCTGGTATTTCTTCTTTTGCCTGAGGTGCACAGGCCTCGAAGGGAGCCCAGACAGAACTCCCAGACCAGTTGCAAATTTGACTATGACTTTATTCAGAGATCTTTACTAAAAGCAGCAGCATGAGACTCTTTGGAATTGAGAATTACCTAAAGACTATATACTAACCAGAGTCCTTGATTGCAAGCAACGAAAACTGATTCTAGTTAACTGAAGCAGAAGAAGAATTTATTGAAAGGGTGTTGGGAGGCTGGGTGTGGTGGCTCATGCTTGTTGTAATCCCAGTACTTTGGGAAGCTCAGGCAGGAGGATCGCTTGAGGCCAGGAGTTCAAGAGCAGCCTAGGCAACATAGTGAGACGTCATCTTTACACAAAATGGAAAAATTAGCTGGGTGTGGTGGCACACCTGTAGTCCCAACTGCTTACGAGGCTGAGGCAGGAGGATTGCTTGAGCCCAGGAGTTTGAGGCTGCAATGAGCTATGATGATGCCGCTGCACTCCAGCCTGGGCAACAGGCAAGACCCTGTTAAGGAAAGGAGGGAGGGAGGAAGGGAGTATGGGGGAGCTCAAATAATTGATAGAAAGTCTAGAAAACCAGGCTAGGAATATAAGGCAGGCACCAAGGAAGGCCAGGTGGCCAGATCCACAGAGGAAACCACACCACAGGAAGGGTGCTTCTTCTGGACACTGGCAATAGCACTGGCCCTGCCACTCAGGCTATGATCCTGGGGACTGGATGCTATAGTTGACCCAGCTGTCATCACCTCCCCCAGATACAGAATGCCACCACCACTGAAATTCACTAAAATTTACTGAATAAATTTTACACATTGCCTGATTCTCTTCAATTCTCTCTCCAGAATCACAATCCAAGGATGACTGGCTGAGTGACCATGCCAGGGTCCCAAGCAGTCAACAATCAGGGAAAGCTGGTACCAGGGCCTTTCTTTGGCATCCTGCAATGAGATCCAGGACTCTGCTTCACACAATGGCCTGTTTCCCAAGTGCAAAAGGACAATTTGGAGGCTGAGAAACCAGGAGAATGACAAATGTCCACTATGCGGTCACCTTCTAATAATTCGTAGGCCAAAAACTGAAAGAATTAAAGAATAGAATCTGTATAAAGTGCTCAATACAGCAACCGAGCTGAACTCTTAAAACCTGAAGAGTTGTTACATTTGTTACTCAACATTTTAAAGTGTCAGCTAATCAAAGAACTTCTTTACAGCACTAATACTTTCTTCCATGCCGTTCCCTTTCTCTCTCATTGGAATCATTTGCAATTGCAGAGTTATTAAGCAAAGGAAGTTTGAGAACGTCGTGTCAAATGTGTACATAGCGTCATAAGAGGGGCTGTGCCACGAGTAGACTAAATCCAATTTATTTTTCTGATAAATTAAAAAAAAAACTGCCTACCTATTTTAGAGTCTCAGTTTTGGCATCATATCTATTTTTTCATTGAACTTTGTGAAATCCACCATTCTTTCTACAGTAATAATAAAAATAGGTGCTACTTACTGAGTGCCTAATACGTGGCAGTAATGTTTTATAGATTATTTATAATCCTGACAATAATTCTATGTGATAGATATTATTTACATTTTACAGATGAAGAAATTGAGATTCAGAGAGATTAAGTAACCTGTCACAGTAACTGGGGTTTGGAGCCAAATCTACTACTATACCGTACTGTCTCTTGTGTGGTTGCTTTCTCCAAAGAGTCCCATCACCGTTTTTTTTAAAAAAAAGTATTCAACTGAGTCTAGAATGTAAGGGGTCTTTTTTTGTTTGTTTGTTTTTGATACAGAGTCTCACTCTGTT